GAGGAGAGGAGAGGAGAGGAGAGGAGAGGAGAGCCGCTCTGTGCCTTGGCTTTCCCATTTGTGCATTCGCGGCCTCCGTAGGCCTTACACAAGAAGTCTGAGGGGTAGTGTTTAAGTGAGCACTCAGGCTTCCCCTGAGGAAAAGGAACCAGCAAAGTGCAGCCTTTTATTACTGCCAGTCCTGCTCCCAGCGGAAGCAGGAATCCAAAGGAGAAAATGAAAGAGGACTAATGAGGAAAGAGGGGAGATGAGACAGAGAGTGAGGGGCTGTGTTATTGGCATCTCATCAATGCTTACTGAGAATAGCACAGGCATTGAAGTTTCTGGAGAACCTATGAGAAATGTATTATCTCTACCATGACTACTTATGTATAGCATCTAATGGGGAAAGAGTGGGACTTGGATGTTAGAGAGTAGATGGGGGGGGGGGAAGAAGAGAAGCTATAGAAATAAATACAAGTGGAAGGTACCTGCCCTATTCCTAAAAGGACTGGCTGGCAATGCTGGCACTTTGGAGCCAGGAGAATCCTCCAGCGTCCCTCTCCAATCCTTCATTCTGAAGGATTCAAGAGCCCAGTTAGGATTCCCTGGCCAGAGGTCTCTGTGACTGCCTCTGGACTCGGGACACGCAGCAGCTGGAAAGGACTCGAGTCAGTCTTGAGACTCTTTAGCCCTAGAAGGAAACCAGTGACCCCCAGCAGGAGAGCTAGGATCTGGAGGGAAGAGAAGGGGAGTCCAAGGACACCTTGTGGCTGAGACAATGGGAAACCAGTGCCATGTCCCAAGAGACTCATTTGTCCAGTTGCCAGATATGACTGGCATCTTCTGCCACTGTCTTAAGTCCAAACATTTAAAAAAAAAGTTTGCAGCAAAAAATGCCAGTAATTGGGTGACTAAAGACCAAAGAAAAGTAGTAATAAGGGGCAGCTTATTTGTTCTCTGTCTCGGGTTGATCGTCTCCCCTGAAAACTCTCATAGCCCTAATGAAACACAAACAAAAGTCTCTTCCATAGAGAGGCTACTTCTCAGCTTCAGTTGCCTCCTGTGGTGGCTCTGGGGGGTCTGGAGGTGGCATCTCTTCAGGAGTGCTGCTGTCCTCTGGCATCTCATTAGAGTTCATATGTTCTGTTGAGGCCTGAGAAGTAAAAGATATCAGAGTCAACACAGAGAGCTATCTTAAAGTCTAAATGCAGATAATCCAAAGGCACTGAGTTCTTCCTCAGAAACCTTCGGCCACAGTGACATTAAAAGTATGCAGCCAAGGTCACCAAGCTCAGACTCAAGACCAGGCTCTCATCATCATAGCCAGAATGCACCTACAGCTTAGTTGAGGTCTAGCCTTAACTGTTATGGACAGATGTTTCTACTGTTACAAATAATGATAATAACATGAACCATAATTATAGGCAAGCACACCCAACCACAACAGAATTTTGTTCTCTACTTGTTTAACAAGGTCTGACTCAACGGTTTTCAATCCTGTTTCTATCCTAATTGAGAATTTATTAGTCCAAACCAATGAAAGTGGTTTCAAATGATAAATATGATTTAAAATGTCTCCTAAGTGATTTTTTCAATGTTTATTTTCATTCTATTGCATTGCTATTCTGCCAGCATGTATGTCTGTGTGAAGGTGTTGAATCCCCTTGGAACTGGAGTTACAACAGACAGTTGTAAGCTATCATGTATGTGGTGGGAATTGAACTTCAGTCTTCTGGAAGAGTAGCCAGTGTTCTTAACCATTGAGCCATCTCTCCAGGCCCCGGCTAAGTGATTCTAAATTACATCCTCTCCTATATTCAACTGAGAACCACTAACCTATGGGTTATGATTTGGGACCAGTCTCATCAGAAAAATGATACTGAAGATGATGACAATAACATGTAGCCACACTTGCTGTCCCTTCAAAAGCAAAGGAAACATTTAGGAGGAAAGAGGAATAATAACCTTACAAAAAGTAAGTATGCACATAAAATCAAATTCTATTTTGAAATAAAGTTTAAACCTAAAAATCTATTAGAATGAAAACATGTTTGGCTAGGTTTCAGAATATGACTGCTAAACAAAGATTAATTGTGTTTCTCTACACTCTAATGAGTGATGCAAAAAATGAAATTAGGAAATCAATTTCATTTATATTAATGTCAAAAAGAACAAAATAGTTATGTAGCAAAAGATACATTTAAAACTACAGCATCAAAGGAAGCCAAGCTAAACCAATAAAACTAGCAAACAAAAAGGGCAGGCCAATCTTTTTGGTAAAGGTTCCCTTCCTACCAGGCAGAGAGCAACTGTCCAACTATATATATCATGACATGGAAGCAGGGAGGACAGTCAGGGGAACAGATATGTTCTTTCTGTGCTCTTTCTCCCTCCCCCCCACCCCTCCCCTCCCCCTTCTCTCTCTCCCGCCCCCTCTCCTAAGTGTAGGTGTGCATGTGGGTGTGTATGCATTGCAAGTATCCTGGCACTGAGCTCCATCTTTAGCAAAAAGATAGTTCAGAAAGCATGTCATGGCAGCAACAGTCCTCAAATTGATCTATAGACTCAATGTAATCTCTATCAAAATCCCAGTTGGCTTCTTCACAGAAACTAAAAAGCTTTAAGATAATCCTAATGTCCATTCAGGATTTGAAGGAACCAAGAATAGCCTAAAACAAACATGAAAAAGAAGAATTAAACTGAAGAAACAGCATTTCCTGTTTTTAAAATTGTTTAGTGCTAAAGCAACAGACACAGTGTACTATAGGCCTAAGAACAGACATATAGATCAACAGACTGTAGCTGAGAGTCCAAAAATAAACACACATTTAAGTCAATTGATTTTTTAACAAGAGTGTCAAAATAATGGCACAGACTTTTCAAAAAATGGTAGAAAAATAACTAGATATCCACAGACAGAAATAACTAAATAAATGTGTGCTCTCTACCTCTTACCATATGTAAAAATCAATCCAGAACAGATAAAAAATATAAATGTAAAAGCTGAAACTACAAAACTCTTAGAAGAATCAGAGGAATATATTTTCACAACCTTGGATTCGGTAGCAGTTTCTTGGACATGGCCCCAAAACATAAGCAATAGAAGAGAAATTGATATCCATAATAAGACAGCACATATGGGCTACAGAGATGACTCAGTGGGCACCATGCTTGCTGGGTAAACATGAGGACCTGGGTTTAATCCTTAGAAACCAGGGTTGGGGCAAGCCAAGAGTGGTGGCATGCTTTTCTAACCCCAGCACTGGGGAGGCTGACGCAGCAGGATCACTGGGGTTTGATACACAGCCAGAATACTCTATTTGGTGAGCTCCAGGCCAGTTGGAGAGGCTCTCTAAACAAACAAACAAACAAACAAACACACAAACACACAAGCCAAACAAACGGACAAACCAACAAAACAACAAGTATGCTGGAATTAAGGAACACTAAAAGTTATTTTCTGACTGCCTGCCTGCCTACCTACCTACACACACACACACACACACACACACACACACACACACACACACACACACAGGGGTGTGAGGAGAGAAAACAAAAGATTTGAATAAATATTTCCCTTGTGAAGACATACAAAGGGCTAATACTCATATGGAAAGACCTATGCACCATTAGTCATCAGGGAAATGCAAATCAAAGCCACAATGAGATAACACTTCACATTTACAGAGGCTAAAATAGAAATGATCATATAATAATCTATCAGAGACTGCTAGTGGGAATGTAAAATGGTGCAGCCACTTTAGAAAGCATCTCAGCAGCATCCCAAAAGATGTTAATGTTTAATTTCTATAATAGAGAGCTACCGCCTCTCTCACCAATTTTACTCCTAGGAATAGAGCCAAGAAAAATGAAAGACTATGTCCATGCAAAAACTTGCACAGAGATGCTCACAGTAGCATTGCTTATAATATCCAAAAAGGTGGAAAAGTCATATGCCAAGTAAACATGATGACTTAAGTTTGATCTCTGTAACCCAACTCGAGAAGAGAGAACTGATGCTTTAAAAGTTGTCACCTGACCTCCACACGTGTGTTGTGGCATACACATGCCTATGCTCACACATACGTACCACATAAACACACATCATAGCAATGATAAATAAAATTTTAGAAATAAAAACACAAAGTGTGGAAATGGTGAATGGATAGATACAATATGGATATGAGCCTGCCATATAAAGGAATGAAGTACTGCCAAATATAACACAGATCAGCATCAAGAATCTTATGCCAGGGCCTGGGGAGCTGCGAGAGTGCCTAGCATGTATGAAGCCCTGGGTTCCATCCCCAGACCATATTTCATACACACACACACACACACACACACACACACACACACACACACACACACACTTGGAGGCATATAGAATGTTTCTTAATATTGAGGGTAAGGAATTTTTTTTATTAAATTGTGAGGATCATATAAGCATATACTAAGGAACTGTCTATTTTAAATAGACATCATATGGTATGTGCACTGTATCTCAATTACACTCTCGGAAGGGAATTTCAAATACTTTTAGGAACATATTTTCCAAAATATATCTTGATCAAAGTACCTGGGAGAATGCTTACAACACACTAACTAGATCTAACATGGTCCTCTTTCTACAGCATGGCCTCTATAACATTTTATGTTTCCCTAATCAAGCTACTCTTCACACACACAGCAACGCTCTGGTTTCTTATCCCTCATCTCCTCCAGACAGTAAATGCTCTCTGGGCAGGGCATTCGACTTGCTCGCTCGCTGGTGTATCCCTACCATGTATGAAAGTAGTTGGCACCAAATAACTGATCAATATGTGTCTAGGATACACTGATCTGAAGGCAGTATCAGGGCACAATCAGAGACAGGGAAGCTGGAGAGATCGGGGTCCAACATCACAGTTATATTTTGAAGCTGCTGAGTGAGTCTACACAGTCCCTATCACCTACATAGCATAAGTCTGCGACACTTACTGGGCTCTGTGGCAAGAGGCTACTGCTGGTCTCTTGAGTACTTGGCGGTCGACTTCCGCTTTCCTCCAGTGGCAAAATACCCCTTCGATCTAGGACACTGTCAGAAACAGAAGAATGAATCAAGGACTTGACAGTCACTCTTCTATCAGCTTAGTCCCCACTGAACATCTGTACATCAGAAAGCACAAACATGCCTTCAGCAATCTGTGCTGACCCCCAGCATACATCTGTCTTCCATTTACTCTTCCACAAACTGGAAGATGTCACATTAACCAGGGAACAAACAAACGAAACGGCCAGTACACGGTTTTATGGCTCATGTAGATATGGTGCCATATGACAACTCCCAGGAAGACCTATTTGATATCAAGAAGTTCCATGCAGAAGAATGCAGCAGAGCAGGCAAGAGGATAGGTTTGAGTAGTTCAGCTTAAGAGTCCAGGGCATTTTTGTTACTTGAGTACCTGGGGGGCAAGGGGCCACAAAGCACTTCACAGCAGTTCTTCACAATGTTGCCATGGCTGTACGGATTCTGCACACGGTTCTTCCCTGTCCATGATCCTTTGATCTGCAAGACAAAAGCCAGGGCTTATATTGAAAAAGTATGTTGAAGAAATATGAGCAGTGTGGGCTGATGAAGAAGTGCAAGAGGTAACAATTACACAATAAACTGAATGCACAACATGTCACTGACCTGCACATTTAAAACAGTTAAAGATATCACACACTCTGAAAGCCTAGTACTTGGGAGGCCAAGGAAGGATCCTGGGTGCTAAGCCAACCTAGTCTATATAGTAGTCTCAAAACCTCAAGTCTTAAAAATAAATTAAGAAAAAATTGTGAATGTTTAAGATGGTACAAATGTCTTATGGTGTATATATTCTCTAACAAAATAATGAAAAACTAGGGGCCAGGAAGAGAGTTCAGCGGATAAAGAAAGGCACTTGCCACCAAGCCTGATGAGCTGAGTCATCAAGACCTACATGGTAAAAGGAAAGAAACAAACTGTCCTCTGATATCCCACCGTGCATTTGTTCATGCACATGTGCACAGATTAATACATTTAGCTTGCAAAAGAAATAGCTGAACATGAAAAATATAAGAGTTAAAAAAAGAAAAATGTACATGTTCTATTTTGTTTTCAAAATACACTGTACATATGAACTCACAGAGACTGTGACAGCATACACAAGGCCTGCACAGAATTCCAAAACAGAGAAGGGGTAGAACTCAAAGTTCTACCACTAACCAAGAAGCTATTTGCAATTGATACCTGCTGGGAAAGAAAAGTCCATTTTCTCCAGTGGAGTGTCATTGGATCTAACAACCACACTCCAGGGTAGGCCCCACCCATGTGCAGGAATAGTTAAAATAGACTATATGTTTCGGTTTTTGTTTGTGGGGGGGTGCTTCTGTTTTGTTTTACTTTGATTTGTTTTCTTTTTGTCATATTTGGTTTTTTCTTTTTTTGGTTTGTCTAGAATTTTTTTTATTATTCTTGTCTTTCTTTTAAGAGAAAAAAACATGAAGTTAGGTGGGTATGGAGGTGGGGAAGATCTGCTGAGAGAGGAGAAAAATATGACCAAAATATATTATACAAAAAAGTGAAATAAAAATTAAATGTAAACTATAGTGTATATGTAAACACTTATATAAGATCAAACCTACACACATTTAGAAGACTCTAAATCATGCCACTAACAAAAGTGATAGGTAGAAGGTAAAGTTACAGGCATTTATTCATTTGTTCAACTGTGTTTTCTAACTATTCATAATGAATATGAATTGGTAACTCCTTAAAAGTAAATATTCATTTGGTGCAACTATTCTTCTCTATTCCAAATTTAGAAGCACTGATTACCCTTTTTGTTGTTGTTTGCCTGTTTTGAGATAAAGTCTAGCTATGTTGCTCATGGTAGCCTTTTTGTCACTATGCAGCCCAGAATAGCCTTCAACTTGACATCTTCCTGTCTCAGTTTCTCTAGCAAGCACTGTGATTATAGAAGTGTTCCATCACACTAGGACTTCAACTAGTCTTTAAATACCCATAACTAGTTAAAAGGCACGTCTAGTCAACTTTTCAACCTCTTCCTAATGTTCTAGCGGCATTCAGCTCCAAACAAAGCTGTCTGCCTTTTATTTACAAAATCTCCCAATCCAGGTTTTTTTCCCACTTGTCTCAGTCTTCAGCCCCTGGACACATGCTTGCTTTCCTAGCAGGTAACAAGGGAATGGGCGTGGAGAGGAGAAGGATATAAGTGGGAAGAGAAGGTTGACTCACGTCTTCATTGGTGGTCTGGTTGAGAGCCACAAGGAAAGTGTGAAATCCAGTCAGCCCCACAACAGACCAGAGAGTGAAGAAGCAAATGAGGACTTCCAGAACAGTGAGGTTAGGTTAAGGAATGTTGGAGAATTTATGCTACGTAGGGGACCTGATGCTTCAGTTCATATTCACGAGATCAGTCAAACCCTTTACCACTCGGAACAAGTACCACAGAAAACCAAATTATGTGCATATAACTATAGATGAATTCTAAACTTCACTGGATAGATCCCTTATGAAAGTTAATGCATTTCTGTTTATCCACTATGAATAAATCTCTAGCATCTGCAGTGTGTATCATTTGCCTGTTTGTCACTGGCTCTTTGAAAGGGACATTTAGGAAGATGCCAGAGCTAAACAATGTTGCCCACCACTGTTAATGGAAATCCCACCAACAATAAACGTTCTAAATGAAAAAAATCAGTGGGATGGAAACAAGATGTGGTTTATCCAAATCTCTTCTAAATCCCCTTTTCAGAAATGTAACCGCTGCACAAAATAAGCCTTCACTGAAACAGGAGGGCGGGGCTTCCAGCACATAGCACAAAAGGGCACTGGCATAGAGGGCCGCCAGCTAGAGGACTCAGGGCTGAGCCTGGAAGGACTCTTGAACGACAGGAGGGTCCAAGAAAGAGGTGAGGGGTTAGCCTCCCTTAGAGTCCTGACAAGTTTCCATCCTAGCTGCTAACGCTAGGACTACGCTTGTTAATTTTAGGCTTTGGCAGTCACTGACGTCTGGAAAACTAGATAGTGGGAGAACTGCAGGGAAAACATGCTGGCAAGCAGTTTCAGACGGCTTCACACGGACGAACTGCCAGGGGAGGATATGTTCCAGGAGTTTCTTTCAGTGTCTCCAGGAAGCCAATTTTCAAGGATTCTGTGAAGTTGGGAAGAGGAGCAGAAAGAAAAATTAGTGACTTTAGTAATATGTATATATCTCCCTATTGACTACCTACTTCCTCATCTCCCTGTCCTGTGCTATATACTCTGGCAAGAGAGAAGGTCCCACTGGGGCAAGGGTAAAGAGTTTCCTCTTTACCTGAAAGCTGGTGACTGAGTTCACATTCCCAACATGCTCTAGTGCTTAGGCACTGGGCCAGAGCTGGAGAAACCAAGCATTAGGTTCCCTTTCCTCTTCCCAGTCCCCAAATATAGACATGTAGTGGGACAGCCACAGATGAAAGAAACCAGAAGTACCATAGAAAGATCTTCTCATGAAGGCTTCTCCCTTGTGCGACATCCAGCTTAGAGCCCCTCCCTTTTCGCGACCACTTGCTTAGCTCCACACTGTGTCCTTAGCTGCTTTGTGTGTGTGCACATGCAAGCATGTGGGTGGCTGGTTTCCATCTCTTGGAGTATACTATGATCCACTAACAGGTAGAGGCCCTTCTACCATGTAACACAAAGGTCTATCTTACAAGACAGAATGAGAGGGTGTGTAGAGACAAATACGTACCCAACCTTTTCAATCACTTCAGAACCACCTGGTACTCTGGTTGTGGCTCAGAAATTATGGGCCCATTCTTGCCAGCAGATGGCCAGAGAGAAGGCCAGAATAATCAGTAAATATCTACCAATGTGAGCTGAGACTTGTAGTCCAACCCAAGAGCAGACAATAATACATGCTTCTGTCTGCTCCTGAGCAAGTGCACCATCATAAATCCAACTTCCCCCTAAGCCTTTCCCTGCCCATTGTCAGCACAGTCTCTGCTCTGTATACTCACTGAGGGCCACATAGACGATGTTAAAGGCGAAGACATAAATTGTGAGAAGGGAGAGAGAGAGGATGAAGAGGTAGAAGTAGCGGTAGTTCCTCTTTCCAACACAGTTTCCCACCCAGGGGCAGTGATGGTCGAAGCGTTCTGTGGGAGGGAGAAAGAGAGGTCAATACCAAATCCCAAACAGGAGCAAGCCTACCTACCCAGCACAGCAACTAACCCAAAGAACTCAAGGAGCTCTGCACGCCTTTAATCCCAGCACCTGGAGAGGAGAGGCAGGCAGATCTCTGAATTTGAGGCCAGCCTGGTCTATATAGTGTGTTCTAGGCCAGCCAGAGCTACATAGTGAGACTTATCTGAAACAAAGGGAGGGAGGGTGTGAGGAAGGCAGGGAGGGAGGATGGATAGTTGACATTCTTTATCAAAATGTTTTTACCACTAGCTCTTTCAGTCTTGTGATGGCTAATCTTTCTTATCAACTTGGCAATATCGGGAATCAATTAAAACTCAAGCCTGTGGGGGATTTTCTTAATCAGAAAGGAAGACTCACCCTAATTCTGGGCCACATCTTCTGATGGTCCATAAAAGAATATGAAAGAAGGAACATAAACTAAAAACCAGACTGACTGAACATAGACTGAAGACCAGAAGTTCTCTTAGGAATCCTCCAGGATTCTAGCACCAAACTGAGACTGCTGGCATATCCAGTCTCGTGGACTGAACAACTATTTACTGGATTCTTGGCCATCAGGAGACAGCCATTATTGGACTAGCCAGACCATACCCTGTAAGCCATTCCAATATAGTAGATACATACATACATACATACATACATACATACATACATACATACATACATATATATATATATATATATATATATATATATATATATATATATACTCTATCAGCTACGTCTTTTAACCCTGACTAAACAGATACTGGATGCCAGCTAAAAGAATATTTTCTCACTTGACAGATCAAGAGACAAAGGCTTTAAACAATCCAGTGATCTGGGTTATTCTGTCAGTTAAGGGCAGAGGCATTGCTTTTCCCAGTAAGAGACCTTAGCAGATGGACCTGCTAAATTCAGAAAATAAATCTGAAAAATGAGTACCATTTATTTTTTGACCTGTATTTATTAAATATATAAATCTATGATACACTATTCTTTAAACTGCATGGCATAGCTCAATAAAACAGAACACAGAAACAATCTCTAGAATATGCAAGAATTTACCATCTAATAAATACCATTATAAAAGGGAAGTATGATTTCATGAATAATTATGAGATAATAGGCTAATTGGTAGAAAATATGGTTATATTTTTTCTTCATACCATTTGTCAAAATATATTCCAGATGAATTAATTGTTGTACATAAAAACAAATTTAGATCACAAAATAATGACAAGGAACAGATATAGGACTTTCCAAGCACATAAGTAATGCAATAAAACAGAGGATGGAGACAAACAGGTTTTACTTAGGAGGCAGAGGCAGGAGCAGTTCTGTGAGTTTAAGGCCTGTCTGGTCTACATAACAAGCTTCAGGACAGGCAGGACTGAATAGAGAAACCGTGTCTCATCAAACAAACAAACAAACAAAGTCTCTGATTTTTAATCAAAATGACATTTTTGCACATTAAAAATACTAGAAAGCCAGTGCAATGGCTCAGTGGCAAAAGGCACTAAATTTGCAAGCCAGACAACCTGAGTTGGCTCCCAGAGCTCACATAAACGTAGGAATGAATCAGTCTGTTAAGTGACAACTTTACAGATCTTTACACGCATAGCATAGCTTGTAAGCTCCACCCACATCAAACACACACGTAAAACATTCTCTCTCTCCTCACTAGATGATAAAAGAAAAAAAAAACTAGAGAGAAAAAACCAACCATATATACACATACATATGCCTGATTTTATGAGAAGTCTTTCTTTCTTTCTTTCTTTCTTTCTTTCTTCCTTTTCTTCTTTCTTTCTTTTTTTTTTTTTTTTTGGTTTTTCGAGACAGGGTTTCTCTGTGTAGCCCTGGCTGAGAAGTCTTTCTATACTAATAAAAAAGATACTTCCTCAAGAAAGGTACCAAAGGCTACCAGAAATTTATTAAGGAAGTTTCCCTTTTTTTTTTCAAGACTATCTCAGTAATTAGTCATAGGGTGGGGCCTTAATTCACTAGGATTTAAGAAGAGGGTGAGACATTAAAAATATGTGAGCACACAAAAACAAAATCCCAACCAGTGAGAGTCCAGCAAAGAAGAAGCCATTTGCAAGCCACAGAATGAGGCCATCCTGGAAACCCTTTTGTTACCTAGATCTTGGATTTTCCAGTCTCCAAAACTGTGAAATATGTATACTCTGTTGATGAAACAATCCAGTCTACAGTATCTTATTATCTGAACCCAAGCAAAAATCCAGGCATATAGTCAGCAGTTCACTTGCTAGTTCATATAGCATCACCATGTTAAAGTTCTGAGGAGCTATCTGACTCTTTTCACACTAGATACACAATTTTACATTCCTACTAGAAATGTAAGGAGGTTCTACCTTCTCCATATTCTTAAGCTCCATATTTTTTTTTTGCAATATAGCCCAAGCTGGGCTTGGACACACACTTTTCCTGACTTAACCTCCCAAGGGCTAGGATTACAAGTATATACCACCACACGTAACTGAACTCATAATTTTTATTTCAATATTATAATAATAATAATAGAGAATAGACCTAATGACAGGAGACTGACTAAATAAACTAGAATATAGCCTTATAATAGATTATGCAGCCACTAAAGTAATCTTAAAGATGTAGAATAAGAGCTCAGGATATAATCTTAAGAAATGCAAAGCAGCCGGGCGGTGGTGGCGCACGCCTTTAATTCCAGCACTTAGGAGGCAGAGGCAGGCAGATTTCTGAGTTCGAGGCCAGCCTGGTCTACAGAGTGAGTTCCAGGACAGCCAGGGCTACACAGAGAAACCCTGTCTCGAAAAATAAAAAAAAAAAAAAGAAAGAAAAAAGAAAAGAAAAGAAAAGAAAAGAAAAGAAAAGAAAAGAAAGAAAGAAAGAAAAAAAAGAAATGCAAAGCAGGGTACCACCTTTAATCCCAGCACTTGGATATTTGTGAGCAGCCAGAAATCAGTGTAGAAATTCCTCAGAAAACTAAAAATAAAACTACCGCAATATTCAACTATACCACTGGGTGTATATATATCCAGAGGAATGGACTACATCCTCCATAGAGATACTTGCACATGAGTGTTTACTGCTGGAGTACTCATGATAGCCAAGATAATGGAACCAGTCTAGAAGGCCATTAACAGATGAGTCAATATGCTATACATATAACAACTGAATTTTATTCAGCTGTAAAGGAGAATGCAATTAAATCATTTTCAGGAAAATGGATCGAACTCGAGAGGATTATGCTAAATCAAATAAGCCAGACTCAGGTAAACGCATTTCTGGCTGCTCCACATAGAAGAAGCTTATTTAATTTTTTGAGTGTCTGCGCGTGTGTGTGTGTGTGTGTGTGTGTGTGTGTGTGTGTGTTATGTGTAGTTGTGCTTATGTGCCACAGACTAGAGATCAGACGACAGTTTACATATGTGCTTCTCTTCTTCAGTTTCATGGGAAACTGTGTAAACGTGTGTGTGGGGAGACATGAAAGCAAACGGGACTGGTGGGGAAACAAAGGAGATGTACAGGACTTGGGCAAACGTGAGCAGAGTGGGCTGAAATATATGGATGACACTGTCATGATGAAACCTAGCGTTTTGTACTGTAACTAAAAAAAAGTTAAAGGCAGGACATGGAACCTGTGGTGAAGTGCTTGCCTAGTATGTGTACAGACCTGGCTCGACCCCACCACCACCACAAAAATTTAATTTGGAAATTAAAAGTCTCTTAGATTATGTAATGTCCCTTTTCATAAACAAAGTAAGTTTAATTTATGTTTTTATACCACCCATATTTCCTAGCACAAGCATGTATTATTTTAAATGGCTTTTAAAGGGGGAGGGGGAGGTGTTGAGGGCTGGGGAGATGACTCAGTGGTTAAGAGCACCTGCTGCTCTTTCCAGAGAAGCTCTGATCATTTCCCAGCACCTCCGTAACAGCTTACAACCATCGGGGCTCCAGTTCTAGGGGATCCAGCACCTCTTCTAGCTTATGAGCATCAGGCAGGCAAAACAGCCACATGAGTAAGATACAATAAAAATAAAACAAAGGGGGTTGGAAGGATAGCTCAGTCATTAAAGTGTTTGCTATGCAAGCATAAGAACACATGGGCGCATGCGCACACATCAGACTGACATAAAAAAAAAAATATAAGGCATGGTGGTATATGTTTATAATGCCAGCAGTAGAGAGGTAAAGGCAAGGATATCCCTGGGGCTTGCTGACCAGCCAAGACCGATAGCCTAATTTGGTAAGTCAAAGATCTCAGTGAGACACCCGTCTCTAAAAACAAGGGAAAATGACACCCAAAGTTGTCTTCTGGCTTACACACATGAATGTGCAACCATACACACATGAATACACACACACACACACACCTCTCCAAAGGGAGGGGGTAGTAGTTTTTGAAGAGCAGTGGGCTATGTACTAATCAAAACCCAGACTGTAAGAATAAAGACACTGAAGTGTAGCTCTCCACTGTTGATGGGATGGGGGTGGGGTGAGAGGACGATTCCGTTTTCTTTAAGGCACTGGCCAGTAAGAATTTGACCATGTTCTAATGAGGATATGGGCAACAGAAATTTGACTTGTGGTTTTTGTTTTGTTTGAGGGGATGTGTGATCAGGGTGCACTCTATAAAATTCCCAAATAATTAAGAGAAATATTATGTTGGGGACAAAAAGAGTAGTACGTCTCTTTGTTAAAAGGTTGTATGACATATATTTTTTTAAAAACAAAATGTATAAAGAAAAGTGTTAAATGTTCAAGTGGTTAGCATCATGCCTAGATTCAGAATTATGGATAATAGCCTCATTTTAAGCAAACTTGCCATATAAAAAATTGAGGAAAATGTAAATGTATACAGCTGTATGTTTTTAATAATATTTTTAGTTCTGCTCTCAACTTTGTTAGAGAAGTTTTTTTTTTCATAACTGGTCAAAGTGCTGAGAATAGGTGCCTGTTGAGTGCTCAGGCAGAAATAAGACATTGGTTTGACCCCACTAAGGCTCAGAGAACATCATGGCAGAGGGAGAAAAAAGAGTGTCAGAGCCAGAGGATTGGAAGGCTGCTTTCTGAACATGACAGGACCATTGTAGTCATGCACTCACAGCTTCTGTGGTTATCTGCATTAGAACAAGCCAGTTAATAATTCCAGAATGACCAAGCAGTGGTGGCATACGCCTTTTAATTCCAGCACGCAGAAGGCAGAGGCAGACCGATCTCTGAGTTCGAGGCCAGCCTTGTCTACAGAGCGAGTTCTAGGACACCCATGGCTACACAGAGAAACCCTGTCTCAAAAACTACTACTACTGCTGCTGCTGCTATTACTACTACTACTAACAACAACAATTCTTCCAGCAGTGGATGGAGGAGGGACTAATGGTGCTCCATCTGTAGCTGGGGAGCTATCAGCACTCAACGGCTGCTGGAGGGTGGGGAGCTGTATTTTTCTTTAGGAGCATGGTTGCCAGATAATAAGTGGACCCCCTCATACCCATGCAGATGCAGGCAACATTAACTGGACTTAGTGTGTTATAAAGAATAAAAAGAAAGGGCCATGAAGGTGGGAGAGGCGTGTGTTAGAGGTTCTGGGGAATGTGGAGGGGGAACTGAAGGTGGATATGACCTAGACACATTGTATATATCATGAGAATTGTCAAGAATAATTAGTTTTTGAAAACCATTCCATTTTATAGTAGGTGTGGACATACTTTCCTGTTTTATGAACTGTCTATGTTTCTCACAGCGCATCTGTACTTTTTAGAAACTCAATTTGTAAGCTGGGTGTGGTGGCATATACCTTTAATCCCAGTACCTGGGAGGCAGACACATGCAGATCTTTGAGAGTTCTAGGGCAGCCTGGTCTACACCAGGGTTTCAGGGCACCTAGAGATACATAGAGAGATCCTGCCACAAAAAAAAAAAAAGAAATCAACCTGTATAATTACTTTATTATTTTTCCTATGCTTTTGGGTTTGCCTGCATGCATGTCTATACCACATGCATGCCTAGTACCCACAGAGGCCAGAAGAGGGTGTCAGATCCCCTGGAACTGAAGTTACAGATGCCATCTTGTGGGTGCTAGGAATCAAACTCAGGTCCTCTGGAAGAGCAACCAGGGTTATAAACCGCAGAGCTATCTCTTGTGTGAGTTCTTCATATTTAAGAATATTAATAAGGAGATAGAACTCTTCATGAAACCTTCACTTCAGATCTTATTTAAACAGTATTTCCTAGTCCATTTAAAATTAGCTGTGATTTATAAAATCCAATCCACATATCAATTTGAACCACATAAAGAAAAATATCTCCCCAAACTCTGCCTGAAGAATTGGCTAGTAGGAAGAAAGCAAGGTTCTCAGACATGATACACACCATACAGAACGCTAGAACTGCATCAGCGATACCAGCAGTGTCACATATGTACCTATCAATGAACAGATTTAGTATCTGTGGATGGTCTTCTCCAGAGTTCAGCACCAAGAAGGAAATATGTATAACTAATGCCCATGTATTCAGATGGCAGCACAGACCTTGTATTCTGCACACCTATACACATGTAGCAAGAGCAAAGGCATTAAAAAATAAACGCTTGGACATCAGACCTGACCAAGCATTCTCTCATGCCAATTACACAAACTTACACAAAGGCACTTCAGTGAGATCATCTGTAAAATGGGGATGATACTAGTTTCTGGGGCTTGCTATGAGCCTTGAATGAGAGAAAGGAAAAGTATTCAGCCCAGTGCCTAGTACATAGTAGGAGCACAAAGAGGGCCACTTCTGCCAGAGGCATTCCTCAGAAGTGCCCTCTAGTGGATGTTAGTATTCTCCTCCTTTGTAAAGTGGGCCACACCTGACATGGATCCAGTAGAGGAAAATTGAGATCGCCCAAACAGGTATTGTTCCTCATTTATCAAAGACTTTTTTTATTTAGACCAGATCTCTAGGAGTAAAGCTGATCTGCTGTCATTGTGTAGGAGATTCTTTCCTATGCCAATCTACCTTGTTTCCCATCTGAATCTACCTGCTCATTCCCACTGAATTTTCCCAAGAACCACTGGCCACTGTGAGACCCCTTGTTCAGCTGAGCCTATCCCACAGGCAACAGCCCCTTGGTTTTACTCACCCACACAGTTGTCACAGATGCTACAATGGGAGGCCCTGGGAGGCCGGAAGATCTTGCATGTATAACAGTATTTCAGCTTCACAATCTGGTTGTTTATCTGGAAATTCTTAATACGAGGAGGCGGACGCTGGCCCTGTGGCACGGCACCATTGGTGGCTTCTGTAATCAATAAAACAGCTTTCATTCACTGCTCTTTTTTGTTTGAGTCCAAAGTTTCCAAACATTATGCAGACCATGAGAGGTAAGGGCTCCTCTTTTCCAGGCAAACACTTCTAGACTTCTAGGATCTCAACATCACACTATATCTGCAGCACATCTACTGAATGCTATACAACTCTGTGATGTACAAGTGAAAAGATGTGTCTTCAAGGGTGTTGGGTTAGGGGGACAGGTTGATTACAGACCGTATGAATTTGCATGCCTCTCCAGCCACAGCTTATGAGAGGTGCCGAGCTCACTGCACCTTTGCCATAAAGTATCATTCTAAAAACATTCGTTTTGATTTTAAAAATATCTGCCATCTGGAGCAGTTTTCCTTTTTGTGCAGAGTGGCGTAGGTGCTGTGAAAGGAAACAGTGTACAACAAGGCCTGAGAAGGTGAGGCTAGCTGTTCCTAAGATGATGATGTAAGCCCCGACATGCCACTTTAATATTTCCTTATGTGTGCTGCACAGGAGGGTGTATGGAACACAGAGTTCATGGCAGAATCTGGGGGAGACACGGGGGTAGGACAGGAGGTACTTAAGAGCAAGATAGAAGGGGAATTGTTCCGGCTTTTCTGTTTTTCTTTCTCTAGCCACACCACTGTTTCATAGACTGCTTTCTCACCCGCATGTGGCTCCAGCTTAGGTTACCATGTCTTGCCTCTACTTTAAGCTCACTATTGTTACCCTAACCACGCCCCATGCAGCTGGAGCTGAGACATGGATGTGCAAGCCAATTTCTTCTTAGCTCAACTAAAACTGAGTTTTTCCAAAAAAGAAATCTACCGTGAGAGTTAAGGGGAACAGTTCAAATAAACAAACACAAAGGAGTAGCAGCAGCCTCCGGGTAACATCAAAGAACTAGCGGCCAGCCACACAGACTGACACTCTACTAACACACACAAGCTTCACATCACAAGTTCCAGGTCACAGAGCTTATCATACGTGCCTAGCATGCTTAGGGGACTGGGCTCGATGCCCCCAAGGAGGTGACAGATCAAGTCCAGGGTCACTTTTTTTTCTACTCTTATCTTGTTTGGATGTGAACTCAAGCTACTGTCAAAACAAAATTTTGAAACACTTAACCTAGCCACTGCTACTGAGCTAGTAGCCCCTCCCCCACTTGCCGCTAGTACTCGCATCACTGACTTCTTCCCAGTGGGAACTCCCAGGATATTCCCTTTCTAGCCCTGGGTGTTCTGTTTAAATTCAAGAAGCCGTCATGGTGCTACATTCCAATCTCGGAGTCTCGGACTGTACAGTTCTGAGACTGCAATCTGTTCCTTTACTCCTCTGAGTGGTTCCTGGTACCATGACTGCCCTCTCTCAGTTCATGCAACCCCCTGAAAGCAGGAACCCATGAATGTCAGGGACCCATGAATGCACTTCAGAAGATCTGTGAAATTCTGAAATTATATCCAAAGTTGCATGTATATGCAAAAAAAAAAAGAGAGCATTTTAGGGGGAGACAGTTTACAGCTTCCCTCAGCAAACAGATGTGTGATGGCCTCCTCTCAAAATGGAAAAGACACTATCTTGGCAACAGTTCAGTCATACCTTGGTAACAAACTCTTTTTTTGATGCAACCCAGCACATAGGATAAGAAAGCACACGTGGCTTTGCAGGCTTGTTGTACCTGTCTGACTGAAGTCACAGGTAGTCACTTAGGATCTCAGAGGAAAAAAAAACTGGAACCGTAGTCTGAATCTGCGACTGCTGATTCCACTCCCCTACCCAACCAACATGGCCACCCACTGGGTTACAACAAGACTCACCTATTTCCATTTCTATGAAAGCTGCTTCATCTGGTAGTGCTCGAGGAATCACTCCAGGGTCACTGAAACTGGTCCTCAACAGTGTGGCCATAGAAAAAAGAAAGAGCATAGCAGCAAACACAGGAATGGCAGGAGACAGCTGAACAGCCAGGTAACGACACCTCAGGAAAGAAAGCAAGTCAACATGTTTTCAAGTTCATATAAGGCAGCTATTCGAATTGTAACGATCTGATCTCCACAACAAGAACAGAAGATCTCTGGGGCAAATACTACATTATTTACTTCCTCTGAATATTCCAAACGATTAAGATGTGATTCTGAATACAGTGTAACCCCAGTACATACTTAATTGATTGAGGTCACCTACGGCATACAAAAACAATCTCAAAGGAACTCCCTTACACCTAAGATAACTCATGTCTCTTATCAGGCCCCTAGGAACATTGTGTCTGCCTCAGGAAAGGTTGACACTGGCCAGGGACAGAGAAGTAAAAGAGCCTGGACTTGTAAGCACCATAGGGAACTTTTTCTCTGGGACCATACAGAGCTGTTCATATCCACTCATCTGGCATTAGGACTGAGCTTGATGAAGAGGAGAAAAAAATAGGAACAATCAGGAAGCAGGCTCACAGTGGCACACAGAGGGTAGCTCAGCATGCTTTAAGACCAGTGAAAGGCTTCCAGGCTGCTGATTGAGTCGGTAACATCCATTCATTCTGTCTCCCCAAATAGCTCAGCTAGTGGGTGATGAATGACCATCAGCAATGGGATACGAAACTTCCTTAACTCCACTTCCCAACACCATGTCTATTTCTGTCTTTCCTCATGATGCATCTTTTCCTCTCCATATCCCGAATGGACTTATCTTTCAGGTCCTAGAAACATCACTGTCATCATGGCAGCTACAATTTACCATCTACCAGGTGCTGTGGTAACTACTTTAAACACCTTATTTCATCCAAGACTCACACCAAAGCTACAAGGTAGGATCCCTTACGTTTATTGATAGATGAAGAATTTGGGACTTAAAGAAGTCTTGTCTCCTACAAAAGGCCTATTGGACGCGGCATGCATTCTCCCTGCCTCCTGCCCGTGGCTTCACTATGAAGGCCCTGCATCATTTCCTAGCTCTTTATCAGAATGGTGATTTCACATCCCTCAACTTGATTTCATAAGAACAAGAAACTGGTCTCATGAAACCTTGGGTTCAAATTCTAGTTCTACCAACTCCCAGTTGGATGATAGCGGATCTGTAAAATCGGGATAATGATAGTATTCCATGAGGTCGTTGTGAGGACCAAATGCACTAGTATAAAAAGTACTTAAAAGGATACTGGATGCATAATAGATACTAAATAAATGACCTTTATTACCATTAGCATCTGTTTTTAGATTCGCTAGATCTCCATTCAAGTAAGGGAACAAAGAAGCTATCAATAAATACTTGTTGATCTGAACTATCAAACTGAATGAATGAGAGTATGTGATGAGCAGTATCACTGACCTATTTTTATCCATCTCCTCCCGAGGCACATTTCTCCTTGAAAACAGAGATCATCACTGGAGGCAGACTATAAGTGGATGAGCAAGGAGTGGAGGGAGAGCAAAGAAAGGAAGCTAAGAAAAAAGCTTACTGCATCAGCTCGGCAAGTGAACAAGATGCAGTCTATTCAGGGCAAATGTTTAACCCCAGGCTGCATATTTGCTCCAGTTGTAGAACAACTCCATGAGATGCTCCCTGCCTCCCCTCCACAACCTCAGTGTACAAGGTGGAGCTTGGGAACTCACTGTTATATTAGGCTAATCAGTATTTACAATGAAAGAGAGCATATGAACTAGCAAAATTATTTCAGTGGCCTATTCATTTTAAAATATAATTTGTGGTCTGAAGTTTTCTTTTTAACAATGTGTTTTCTTCTCCCAGAAGTCAAAAGGACATGGAGGGAGCATGTCAAGAACTAAAGGATCTGGCAAATGGGTTTAGGGTAACTAAGGGTCATGCATATCACTAGTTTGTAGACTCCTTTCCATTCCTCCCGTCACAGGAACACATAATCAAAAAGTAAATTCAGAAACAAAAGTCACCACCACTTGCCAGAGACCGAAAGGACACAGGAGAATTATAAAGTCATGTTTCATGAGTAAGTCAAGTGTAATCACCACACTAACAAAAACCAGCTATCTCCCTAGTCATTGATCATCTTCAAGATCGATCTTCAAAACAAAGAAGCAATGTCTCCAGTATAGATAGTCTCCAATCCACATGAAAGAGGGAAATCTCATGGGGCCCCACCCATAAACAATGATCTACAGGCAACTAAGGAATGCTAAGAGCAGGAAAAATAGTCCTGGCCCCAGGGAAGAGTCCTCTAATTGCCCAAAGAAGAGCCCTCTAATTGGTTATCTTAACACTAAAAGGACTGAATAAGTTGTGTGGGTATGTGTGTAGCAATAACAATTAAAGAAAAACAGGCCATAGTTCTAGAGGGAGGGGGAAGTTCATGGGAGGGATTGGAAGGAGGAAAGCAAAGGGAAAAATAATGTAACTATATTTTTTTTAACGCTTTAAAACAGCAGAGCTATCTGATTATCCACGAAAGGGAGAGTGTTGCTTTTTTGAGATTATTTATTTTGTTTTATTTGTATAAATGTCTTATATGCATGTAGATGAATGCTTGGTATCCCTGGAGGTCAGCAGAGAGTGCTGGATCTCCTGGAAGCAGTTATAGCTGGTTGTGAGCCACCATATGAGTGCTGGGAACCAAACCCAGATCCTCCTCAAGAGCAGCAAGAGCTTTTAATCACTGAGCCATCTCACCAACCCTATTTCTTTTTATTCAAGGAGCTAGTAAAACCACTACCAGAGGAAAAATTCAAATTACTGCTGGTCCCTGCAAAGAAGAACCAAAGCTTGACTAAGTCCAATTCCAACACCTGCTGTAAACTAGACAAAAGACAACTTCGATTTGAATTATACTCCATGATCACGGATAAAGGTCTCTGTAATCTCCATACAGACTATCTTCTGCACCTGCTAAAACAATCCACTCTGTATGTCAACAAGCACACAACAGGCTCATTGTATTGCTCTTCTCCAGAGCGAGGCTACAGGCAGCCAGTTGTCCCTAGTGTGTGGGCGTGGTTAGAAAGGCAGATGGGGGACTAGCAGGCCTTTCTACTCCAAATAAGAGGAAACATCGAAGCTAGCAACTAAGACTACTGTGAACTATCGCCTATGATGGTCCTCTCTTCTAAATAAACACGTTTAAATAAAAACAGCCTTGTAAGCAAGGAATGGGGGTGTATGCCTGTAGTGCCAAGTACTCAAGAGCCTGAGCCAGGAGGACTACTTGTGTTCATGAGTTCAAGACCGTCCTAAGCAACACAGAGAAACACGTGTGGAAAAAAAAAAGTTCTTCCTCAATGAGGGGAGGTTGGGGAGACAACTGGTCAAAGGTCACATAATTTCAATAAGGAAAAATAGATTCAAGAGATTCACCACCAATAATAGTGACTGTCGTTAATAGCAATACTTGAAAATGATTCAAAATAGATTTTAAGTGTTCTTCCCAGAAAAAAAATGTAAATGTATGAAATGCTTGTTTCATGTGTTAAGAAGCTATATTTTAACCATTCTACAAAATATGCATACATCAAAATATGTTATCCAATATAAATATAGTTTGTATTCATCACTTTACAAACATTTTAACCTTTTTTTCATATATAGTTTATTAACTGCAGGAAGCTAGAAGTCTATCTTTGATAGGAATAAGCTCCTGGAAAATTTAGTAGCAATTACCGAAAGTCAAGGGAACCTCCAATATCACCAGTATGGCTTCGAGGAAGATTTGCTCTGTCAGCTACAGTGTACGCTAATTGTTTCTTAAACTCCCTTCTACTTTCCATCTATATCATTTCTTGGAATAATGATATCCATACATTCATGGAAACAGACGTCTCCTTTGTCTTCCAAGTGCCAGGAGGCTTTCCTCCTTCTAGGGCTTAGACATTCCCAGTCTCACTTTGTAAATAAACCATATGCCTACTAAGCATTCATTTCTGATACCTGAAAGAGCATTATCATTTTAAAATATCCTTCTCCAACTCCTTGACTGACCCTCAGACTTCTATAGCTGGGCTAGAATACTGGATTCCCATATGTTCCCATGAGCCACATGCTGGTACTGACTAGCAGTATCCAGCAGTGCCAGGCTAGGGTAATGCGTCATGTCCCATGCCCTACCCCCAGCATGCTAGTTTGTTGGAGGGATGATAGTAATGGCATAGACTTCAATTCACTTGAAAAAAAAATCTCAAAATAGATCCATGAGTGAAGCTGGTAAGAGACCAGACTCCATGTTAGGGCTCTGCCTCACAGACTGCACGCTCGGGTTGTTCTATATAACAGTCTGTCTCTAAGTCCCTAATAGCTTTCTCCCTACATTTTTAATGTTTTGTTTGTTCTTTTATCAGCACAATCAATAAGCCAACAAGTATTTATTGGTCTAACAACTGAAGAACAAGAAAAATAGGAGCTAATGTTCTTGGGGAAAACATAACTAACATATGAAACAGCAAAAGCAAAGGTAAGAGCAATAATCAAGTGTTCGAATGGTGATTCAGACTCTGGACTGTAAGTGGTCAGGAAAGAGCTCTCTTGGGGAGCTGGTGGCTGTTGAAGCTGTTCCAATAGCACCTGTTAAGGATAGCTTTAAGGAAGAACTGTGCTTTTAACAGCAAGATGGGCCTAAAGATCCCAGCCTAATGATACCCTTTGACCTAACATGAGAGAAATAACACTTCATTCTCATTCCTCCCAAATATGGGTAGATAGTTGTCTTCTTAGTCACTATTTCCCTGGCATGCATGGAATGCTTCTGTTTCCACAAAATTCATGTTGAAATCCCAACCCCAATTCAATAATATCTGCAGTTCCGATGGAGCCCTTGGTAAGTGATTATGTCAACCAAAGTCTCCTTCTTCATGAATGAGATTAATGACTCATATTACCAAGAGTCCCCTTGCCTTTCTATGACATGAGAAGATTGCAAGAAGACAGCTACCTCTAAGCCATGAAATAAGTCCTTACCAGACCCTGACTCTTCCAGTACTTTGACCTATGGCTCTCTAGCCTCAAGAACTGGAAGACATAAAATTC